GCGGGGGGGGGGGGGGGTGGCAAGGAGGGGCTCAGCCCGGTGCTCTCTTCCCCCTTTTTGCTCTTCAAGGCCGACATGCTCTTGCTGTGCAGCTCGGAGCCCAGCAGCCTGTGCTACGTGGAGACTGCCGACATCGATGGGTGAGGAGAGGGGCAGGGGACCACTACTGCCATGGAGGGAGAGGGGCAGAGACACCTCAGCCAACGGCTGAAGCCTCCAGTCTTGGGGACCCGCTGGCATTGGGGGGTCAGGCACGCTGGGAGGGCTGCAAGTCCAGCTGAAGCCACGGGATTTGAGGGATCCTCCAAAAGCTGAACCTACAGACACCCCAGAAATGGGATTTGAGCCCCAAATTTTGAAAATGGGAAGACAAAAACACTTTTGAGGCTTCCACAGAGCAGCTGGTGACCTCAGGCATCTCTCTCCATCTCTCAGCTCCCTCCCAGCCACGCTGAGGACAGCAGCTGCCCGTCCCTCCCACCTCTGTCTGCAGGATGATTTAATGGCAGGGTCTCCAGGCCAGAGCTTCCTTCCTGCATGAGTGCTCGATGTCTGGCATGATAGGTCCCTATCTCACTTTTCATTGCCATCACTCATGTAATCACCTGATAATTAATGGCCGTCTCTGTCCCATGGGTCCGACAGCAGAATTAACAGCTCTGTCACCCTGCAGGGTTGTTTTATTTTTCCCTCCCTGGCTCTTGTTTGCAGGGAAACGAACCTGAAGTTCAGACAAGCCCTTCTGGTCACCCACCAGGAGCTGGTGAGCGAGGAGAGCATGGCCACCTTTGATGGTGAGTCTCCCGGACGGGTGAGGATGTGGTCGTCCCACTGGGATGGGATCGGTTCACCCTCGGGAAGTCTCTGTCCCTTCGGGCACCAAGTGCCCTCAGCCTAACCGGCGGTTGCACTTGCTCCTGCCTGCAAGGCTGGAGGGTGGTTCTTGCCAAAAGACCTTGCGTGGAGGCCCTTCCCCAGCAGAGTGGCTCTGTGATGGATCCATAGGGGTTGTGCACCTTCCCCCTGCCCTGGATCTTGATTTTCCCACTGCAATCAAACGCTTGGCTCCCAAACCTGAGCTCAGACCCTGGACTTTTTCCCCTTTGGTCCTCCACAGGATGCAGACTCCCCTCTCAGAGGCTCTGGGGTTGAAGGTGGTTTGTACCTTGTCCCATTTTATAGCCCAGTGCGGTTCCTGGACTGAGCACCCTCCCAGCGCTGCAGGGAGGCCCTCCACCTTAGCCTGACCTTAATTTGAGCCATCCATACCCCAACTGCATCTGGAGATGCCCTGGCAAAATCTGAATCTCCCCTGAGAAGCCCCCAGCACCCCTCTTTGGAGGGGGCAAGCGTGGCGGGGGGGAGAGGAAGGACCTCTCGTTTCCCTCAAAGCCATTACCTGAATTGTGCCCTCTGCTCAAGGGAGAGTGACCTGCGAGGAGCCCAACAGCCGCATGCACAGCTTCACCGGCACGCTGGAGTGGAGGGGTGAGACCTACTCGCTCAACAGCGAAAGGATCTTGCTGCGAGGCTGCAAGCTTCGCAACACTGACGTTTGCTACGGCTTGGTTATCTACGCAGGTGAGTGCCCAGGCCCAGATCAGGAAGAGCAGAAAATACCCAGGTCCCCGGGGGTTTTAAGCTGCCCAAGCGCTTCTAGCATCAGCAGGTCCCATTCTCAGGTGATACAAAGTGAGAAGACCTGCTGCTATAACCAAGCCCCCAGAAGTTTGTCCCAGGCTTTGCTGGTGTTGGGCTCGCTGGAAGGGAGATGATGCGGTGGTACCAAACATCTGCTTAACCCAGGTTATATTTCAGCTGCATCACGTCCTGGATCCATTTCGCTTTGTGGCCTCCTGCATGGATGGCTCAGTGCAGCTGAGAGCTTGGCCATCAGTAGCTGTGGGTAGAGGGGTGGGGTACGATCTGGTGTAAGCAGCACTTCAAGTGTGCAGCCACAGCTTGATTAGCCACTGATCAAGGGATGCGGTCCTCTGAACTCTTCAGAGGTGGGGAGATGTTGTTATGGAGGAAACCAGCATCACATAGCTGCAAGTCAACCTTCTGGGGGCTGTGGACTTGCGTTTTCACTTCTAAAATGTTTCTCGTCCAGGATTTGATTCCAAAATTATGAGGAACTGTGGAAAGATCAAGCGGAAGAAAACCAAGCTGGACCGCATGATGGACCGGCTGGTGATCATAGTGAGTGTGGTGCAAACACCTCCTGCCCTGGCCCACCGGCCTCCTGGGGTTGCTCACAGGCCTTCTCATGAGAGGCTGCTTGCTTGGGTGATGCTGATTTTCTTAAGCTTGCAATATTTTGCTCAAAATATCTTGGGTTTAACATGTTATGGGCAAATACCAAGTGATGTTCTCGGGAAGTGGCAGTTGCTGGGTCTGGAGCAGTCTGCGTGGTGGTTGTGTTGCTTAAACCCTGGACCTTGACAGCTCTGAGTTCTCAGCTGTAGAGCAGCCCTTGGACCAGGGAGCTGCCGTATTCAGGATCTCCAGCCCCTCCTGGCCTGCTTTACTTCTCCATAACTGTGCAGGTCCGAGGAGGCGGTTTGTGCTGAGGGATCTGCAGGCTGTGGCTCAGCACAGAGCAGATGGAGGACGGGGGAAGGAGGAACCTTTCCTCTGTGGGAAGCAAAGCAGCGTGGTCATAAACAATGAATTGGATGGCTCTTATTCCGGTTCCTGGTGGCTGAGTGTCATCACTTCTCAGACTGGCTGCTAGCATTCCTGTTTGCTGGTAACTTCAGCAGG